AATAGTTTCCCAGGCCTTCCACTGGAAAGACTCTGTATGGTCCATATCATCATTATTTCAGGAATAAAAAGCATTTTAGTTTGCCTCCTGGTCCACTTTCTGATTTGACAGTCTCCTGCTTTCTATCTCACTGCTCGCTTGTTCGCATGTGCCAATTGGTTTGTTCATTAGTGACATTGCCGGCTACCCAATCCACTGTGTAAATTATTAAGTACATTCTCCTATCAGAGTTTATTGTTTATTGTCTGTTGGGCTATGGCCAGTTGTTGGGATGGTGTGGATGGAGACAACACATCTCTGGGTTTGGTGTTCACATCGTGTGTCACTATCAGAGTGATCAGGCGCTGCCTGTGTGGATATCAACTATAATTAAGAGGACGGTTGTTTGTAAGTACCTATTGTGCTTTAAATACATATTGTGTTTGTAGAGCTAATGCATTATTGATATCATTTCATAGTGTGATTATTGAAGGTCTTTACATATTGTAGTCTATCTATAATATATTGCATCATCTATATTGTGCCTTTGAAAGATCACAGTCAAGGGCTTCTAAACTAAAGAATTATAATTTATTATTTATATCCAATTGGTTGAATATATTAACATTCTGTATTCCATAGACAAATTTTATGATACTTTGTCTAAATACTTTAAAAACAAAACAGTAGAAATTAAACTCAGACATTTGAAATGCTAAAACTGAATTTAAGTATCACACAAATGTAATATACAGTATGAAAAATGTATATTTACATAAGTGGGTGTTAAATGATGGCAAAGGGAAATGAGCACGCACAATCAAAAATCCAGTATATACTAGTATTATGATTAATTGAAAATGTATTTGGTATTGTAGCTTTTCTTCTTTTCTGTTTAATCTGCAAAACACAAGAGCTTAATAGGGTAGAAGTTTACCTGAGCTTACTTGCATAATTCAGTTAATATTTGTAATATAGAATCTATCCATTTTTGGAATGTAAAACAGTTAACATAGAAAGAATGCCATCTTCAGCTCGTTCATCATCCTTTCTCCATTTTAACATAAACTTTCCAGCACAGATGATTTGCTGCTGTAGACACTTTGGACCGTTTTCACTCAGTTCTTTAAATTTAAAAACTGTCAAACATGTTCATCATGTGTTTTAACCGAAGGTGTAAAAGTGATTTAACATAGAACGCATTGCTTATGTGTCAACACAAGTGTGTGGTCTTGAATTCCTCCACAAAGCAGAGAGATGAGGAGGTTTTAACCTTACTCAAACAGTGCAGGCCTTCATATTTCTACCAATTCTGGTTCTTTTTCCATCCCAAAATAATTTTATTGAATGTACTAAAACAGAACATTGAGAAATATCCCACGGCATCTGTCTGTTTCAACTCTGCGGTGTTGTTCTGCTAACTAACTAAGTTTTCAAGATGAAGTCTGGCATATTTGAGTGATTTTATCTGTGAGTTTTCCCCCTCTAAGCAACTGGTGAAAAAGAAAGACTAAATTGCTATGCACCAGGTTTCCACCATATTACCATATAGGACTTATGGATTTGATGCTATTGCTGTAGTCTAACTCTCTCCATCAGTGTTTGTGTGGCCCACGAGGCAGGGGAGAGGATGGGAGGACCATGTTACTCCAGCATCCACTGCCTAAGCCACAGAAGAGGATAGCTGATGAAAACCAAATGTGCCATGGTGTTCACTGGCTTTGATTAAACCTTCACGCAGAGACAGATGCATCCTGATCGTGAGTGAGGAACTGAACTGCTGCTCAGAGGTCACGAAGGAAAGAGATTCCACTTCACTAATGTAGTTTTGCCCCACATACCCACATTACCCCTCCCAAATTGTATCTATTTATGAATTGCACAACTTCTGGGAAATTTATTCCTGCCTTTGCCCAAGCCGTGTCACAGCGCATTTCGTGCTGTTTGGACATCAAAGTGCAGTGCAAGAGGAAATTGGGAGGACCACCTCACAGAGACAAAGCAAAATAGCATGCTGCGGCATATCAGTGTTCCCTTTGATGCTCTGTGCGTGTGTGTGTTTTACAGAGAGCCCTTTGAGAGCCACATTTGATATGCATTCTGCATGGAGTCCATTAGGATATTACAGTTTCATCAGCGGTGAACTAAATGTTTCCATATACTCTGCATTTTCCCTCTGGTAAAGTGGGATCTAGATGTTGGGCTCAGGTACAACTATTTTGCCCCCCAGCTAGGGCCCCTCTTACTGTAATGCTCACATATCGCTGTGTAGACCACAACACTGCACAAAAGAAAGACCACAAATAGCTGTTTTTCATGTGTATGATTGTGATGTTCTGCTGTGTAGTGGATCAAATGGCAATAATTGGCCTGTTATTCCATTGCCTTACAGGTCTGTGTAAAATAATGTGCTTTGATGGCGCACTACCTGAATCAGTCAATATTATATGATAATAAAAGCTGTATATATTATATGATAATAAAAGCTTTGTATTGCAGCTCTGTCCAGCTGCCCAACCTCTGGAAGAGAACTGTCCTATAGAGGAAGAGCTCAGAGAGAAATCGGCTGTGTCACGACAACCCAGCTCCGATTATTACAGACAGATCACTACACACAAAGCCATGGACAGTCTTAAGGTGAGTTTTATACGTTTTTGAAAAATAATACTGTATGAATGACAAAGCATATACCATTACATCTGTTCCACAATTGACCCTTCGCAAAGACCCGCCCCCCTTCGTTACTGTTGCTGTCCGACAAGCCACACATCATGTTCTCACGCAGTGAAAAATACATCGTGGAGCAAAGAGAAAACTGATTACACGCCGACAGACAAAACAGAGCAAGTTACTTTTGGTATGAAACAAAGTCTCAGCTTAAAAATATGCTTATTTTTTAAGAAATTCAAACAATGAATACCATTTTGTGGCTCTTTAATTTGTCGTGACAGATCCCTGTAGTACCTCAGTTCAAGTGGCACGTGAAGCGATTATCTGCCTCTTTACTAGTTATAGCTTGAAATAAACATGAATGAACATCAGAAGGTCTTGTTTCAACTGTGGAAAGATGTCAATACACACCATTTTTCAAGTTCAAGTTCACCGACTAATCCTGTCTGGTTTGTTTGTCAGACAAAAATGGCAGATTCTGCGTTATTATTGGTCAGATTGTCTGTCAATCAAACTCCCTGCGAAGGGTCAATTTAGTGACCTGTTTCTTTGCTTAATTCCTACATAGGTAGCTGTCTTCTAAGGCAGCATCCTAACCACGTAGCACTTCATAGAACTGATTTCGAATTCTATATGTGGAAACAGCTCCATGTTAGCATAGTTTGTTGTTAGCATGTTGCTAAGCTAACTATGCAACACTCTAACAAGTAAAAAACACACTTTATTGATACATTTTGGTATTAAATGGATTTTTAGCTTTATACTGTAATTATTACATTAGTCTCATTTTGTCCTATTTTTTCCACTGAGCATGCATGTAAATACTGACTAAAGCCCAAAGTATAATTTAACAGGTGTTTTTACATGTACGCTAGGGTATGTGTATAGGTATAGGGCAGGGATCCTCAAATCTGGCCCACGAGATCCACTTTCC